ATGACGGCCTACATACTAGAATGGCCTCCTATCAGAGCCTCAGTCTGCAACTCGATCAAAGCCTAGTCCACTGTCGGCACCGTGCAATTTAACAAATTCTACATGCGTACGAGTTCATTGGAAGGAGAGCGATCAGCCCACAGCCTTGCATCGGAGATTGCACTATTAGACAGAAGTAGGTTGGTGGTAGGTTACGTTTCAACACAGTTTAACTCTACCACTTCAGGTTCGCCTGTCCGAGTTGTTGTTCGATTCACAGCTCCCCGTCACGGCACTCCAGTTTCCATAGTGTTCGACATCCATGACGTGTGAATCCCTTGTAAGTTACTATCCGATGTCTCTGCACTCAATCTCCATATACGTGCAAGATATACGGTGTTAGCACGTTGCGGATCCTTGGTTCAACTTCTACCAGAAGGAGCAACTGCCGCTGACTTCGTGCAGCAAATGTCAGTTCAGCGGCCGGCTCCTTACTCGAATATAGTGAAATGGTTTGCCACCTCTCTGTGCTGATTTTCAAATTTAGCACTTGAGAACTTTTGAGAAGTCGCTTACCGTTTAACTAGATGACTGTCAACGCCTATACCGGTCGAAACACTTTTCTGCATTCTCCAGGGAGTGTTTTTATGACCTTGATCCGATTCCATGCACTCCTCGGAACACGTAGATGAGATTTTTTCCCCGATCTCGACAAATGGGTACCGAATATGGTGTAACTAGTTTTCACCTCTCCAAGGGTGATCTGAGGATAACTTCATTAGAATTCAAATCCACGCGTTGGCAAATTGATGTACGGTTGAATAATGCGTAACAATTCTTTTCATGCAATAAACTCACTGGCTTAACATAGATGGGTGTTCATGTCGAGCATAAAAACTGCCGCACGGTGGCTGTGTTGCTGCATTAAGTTGAACGTCGTTGAAAGCTCCGTAATGTGGAAGGTGAACTACCCTAGAACGCTGAAAGATGATAGAGAAATGTTTTTGAATTGTGGCAAGACTCACTTAAATACGAGTTCTCCAGCGTTGACGCAGACTGCCGCAGAATTGAACATCGACTGCCGCAGAAGTGAACCTTGACTGCCGTATACCTATCACATTGCCGCTGTGTCACGCCGCAGAACTACCGCAGACTGCCGCATGCAAGCGGCAAAACTGCCGCAGACTGCCGCGTAACTGCCGCATGAAGGTGTAAAAATGCCGCTACAAAGTGCCGCCGACTGCCGCTGCGCAATGTTTACCATTGTTTGGTTGCCGCTGACTGCCGCTGACTACCGCATGACTGCCGCTGCATGAGTTCAACATGATGTCCTGCCGGAGTCCCCGACAAACAGATCAACCGGACCTCGATACTAAACAATGTATGCGGTCCTATCCTACATCCGTGCACTGATTTGAGAATCTCGCGACAGCGTTGAACACCAGTTCAGTATGTGCCGCAAATTGACTGCCGCTGACTGCCGCATAAAGTGCCGCTGCATGCGGCAAACGGCACTGCAGCGGCAAAATCTCCCTGCCCGATTCATAAGAGACTGGATGCATATTACATCTCTGCAGTTCAATGTACAGACATACCAGACATTCACGTTACCATCTGTCTCCCAGCTCACGTTTATGATCCAATTCCGAATCTCTCCATCTACAGAATTGAACCTCCGCGAAACATGGCAACTACATCAGACGTTGTGCTTGCTGCACACCCGCTTCAACTGGCACGAAGAGTGCGGAGAATGTGAAATCGGGGGCAAAGGGTTCAATTTCGAGCCTTAGAATGTCGGATGGCGTTGGCTTTTTTCCTTTAAAAATTTCGGCACTGTCGCCATCTCGCTCCATGCCAGGATTAACATTTCTTCCAACCCAGAGTTTCCAATGACTGCAGTAGTTCTGGCCCCATGGCCACATCGCGGATGTACGGTAACTTTGCCTTACATTACTCTGGGAAATCACAATCAATACAGTCATTATTGAGATTCGCGCGGGGACAGAAATATCAATTCATGCCGCCGTGGACCGAGATGGCCACGGTGCTGATTTTTAGAGGAAAATGTCATCACCCAAATAAATACATTCGAACGCCGGGAATCGAACCCGGTCTCCCTCCTTTTTAGTTTCATGTGTTGAATTTTGATAGTTGAAGTGGGTGTGCGCCATATACCACGTCCGATGTCATTCCTATAAGTATCCTGCCTGGGTCTAAATTCTAATTATGTAGCAGCGAGGGATTCACGATACGAGTCTGGTCCGACCTCTGAGTACACCCAACGCCACTACATTGAACTCTCAATGCGTACAGCGGCATAAACTTAAACTCTCACGACCAACTCTGCCTCCTCCCGAATTCAAATACAGCCCCCCACTCACCGCTGCGCCTCCTTCTCCTCCTCTCAACCCTGCCTCATCCGAATTCAATTACACCGCCGCGGCTTCTCGCTCTCCCACCCGGCCGTACAGAGCACTGCAGCCGCCAGCGGGTGATTCGTGGTTCGTGACCGTCTCGTGCACAGCCCATGGCCAGCCGTTGAGCGCCTCGGGGACCGGGACTGGCGCGAGGAAGAAGTTCGCAGTGATCGTGACTCATGGGGAGGAAGAGGCGGAGCTCGATGAGCTAGGGAATAAATTCGGGTTAGAATCGGGGAAATTCGGGTTAGCAGGGGGGAAATCAGGCGATCGAAAACAACACGAAGTCGAAAAGCAACAACACGAAGTTGACAAGCAGCACAAAGTCGAAAAACGACACGACTCGGTACACAGAACAACGCAGAGAAACTAAATCACTCACAGCCAAAGCAGCCCTGAACCCAAACGAAAACAGCGTTGAACCACGTACGGGCCAGCCACGGGGTCGAATTCGAAGCTCCCTGCCTTTTCCCCGCGCTCGCCCTCCCGCGGCCTCAACCACCGCTCAAGCCTAAACTCCATCACGTCCCTCGCCTTCCAATAGCCCATCTTGGATCGTGTGCACCAGGGAAGAAGGACGGTGTCGCGCGCGTCGCGAGCAGCGGTGCAGTTCGTAGTCTAGACGACGCCGCTGAGGCTTAGGGGGTAGGGACGCGAGGAGGAGATCTGGAGCGCGGTGTAGGTGGGCGTCCCGAGGGAGTGGAACTTGGAACTTGGCCCGCAGCTCGGCGCGGAGCGTGCGTTGGTCCTTGGCCGCGGGTACTTGCAAGGATCTTGAAAGTTGACAGCGCATTGCATGGTGTTTGCAGTGGCTGGGAGGGAGTCAATATGCGAAAGGGAGAGATGAAACGGAGGTATGCGAGATGGTGAAATCAGATGTATTATAGTAGCGTCAGGCCATTTATGGCCTATGTTGCTACTGCGCCCGATTCCATGTACGCTACGGGTAGAACTACAGTCTCCGCCCATTTAAGGGAGGCCGTGGAGGGAAACCCAGTGGGTGGCGCGCGTCGGTTACCCCTTCGCGCGTCATCACCCCTCCCAAACCGAGACCTTCCGAGTGCTGCCGGAATAGCGAGGTATGCGAGAGGTATTAGAGGTATCAAGCGGGATGATAAATGAAAGAAATGAATACGCTGCAATGATGAAGGAAAGGCGACGAATAGAAGCAAATAAAATATTATGAACTTGCAAAACGCACTTTCAGACCCGCCCAGCGCGAACGTCGTGAGCTCGTCGATGATCTCGCCCTCTGTGAACGGCTGTGCACCCTTCCCTTCTCCGCGTCTTCGCGCTCACGCTCCATGATCATATCCAGAACGTTCAACATCCGCCTTGTGCACCGCCGGCGGCTCGCTCTTACTTATCCTCCAGCGCGTTACGCGTAGTCCGACCGGGCAGCATGCAGCCGCTCGCACAGATACGCTACGCGGGCATCCTTCTCCGTGATCGCGCGGAGGCGATGAGGTCGATGGATGGTGGGGAGGCGGATGTCGTCGAGCGCAGGGATCGGGTAGGTGCCGTCCTGAGGCGGCAGGCGCTTGGACCCAAGCGCCCAGAGGTCGATGAGCTCTTGCATCGAAGCAGCGATGCGCGGCATCATGCGTGCGAGGTAGAGGTTCGTCATGGTGATTCCGAGGCTGCGTTGAGGCGTTAACGAAAATTGATTGAGAGGCAGCGGGAACAGGACGCACTAGCGCTTGTGGTGTTTGAACTGCTTATCGGTCGGGAGTGCGAGAATTCCTTGCGGGAAAGTCCTGCGAACCTGCACAGAGTTAGCGTCACGCTGAAAAAAATCCATCGTGTAGGTTCGTACAGGACTGAGATGGGCTTTGAACGGTCAGATTGCGATTAACGAGGACCTGGGGCGTCCATAACACAGGGACGTACCGCCAGAATCACGATCGCCTGACCGAACCCAAAAATCCTGTTCGCCCACGATGCCCCAGTCCGACCACGACCTGCGCGCCGAACAAATCCCAGCTCGGCCAATGCGTCCCCAGGTGAAAAGAGAAAAAAAAGCCCGCACCTGCGACACGGCTCCCAGCGGCATCGCGGTGTCGTCGAACGCATATGTGATGACGCCCTTTTCCTTCGTGAGGCGCGCGAGAAAGGGGATGTCGCCTGGAACCAGTTGAGCTTGTTGTGCGGTACGTATACCGGGGACTCGGGAGCGGCGTGGGTTTCCAGGGGTTTCCCCAACTGCTAAATCGCCCATGAGAGTGCGAGCGCCAGAGTGGCATCGTGAGCGAGGGTGTTGGCGTCCATGGTGGGTGCTCGTCTTCTGCGTCGTTCGTCGCCGTCACGTATCGTTGCGGTCAATGTGTGAGTTGAATTTTCTGCATTGCAAGCGGCCGCAATTGATCGTCTTCTCACGACATCATCAGATCCGCACTGTTCCGCCCTTCCGGTGTTGCCCGGCTATTCAACAAGATTCTGATTTCCTTCTCCTCTCAGCTTTTCGCCTGTGGGCACCGGCGCACAAAATTCAAATCACTTCTGCTCGGTGGAGTCTTCACCAATCTTGCTCTTACACCCCGCACTGGTGCTGGTTGAAAGGAAGGAGACGACCCAAAAAAGGGAGCTTATGAGACTCGGGAGACATTCGGACGCCGGGAATTGAACCCGGTCTTCCCGCTTGAACGGATGCTGGTGGTCAAGTTGAAGCGGGTGTGCGCCACGCCCCACGTTCGATGCAATTGCTATACTCTGTCCAGATTTAATCAGATGACATTGAGAGTTCCGAGGTGGAAATGTATGAGCCTGTGAGGAGAGGTGCAGCGGTCATGTTCAGAATGTGCTACAAATTTTACTAAAATCGATACCCTTCTTGGGTAAAATGCTGCCATTGACAGAGGTGAGGGTCAAGACAAAAAAGCTCATTCCTGGTGTCAATACGCTGCCAGAGGAAGAAAGGAACTGACAGTAAACACCAAGCTATTCGGATGCCGGGAATCGAACCCGCTCTGCCCGCTTGGACCTCATTCCACACGTCAAATGAAGCAGGTGTGCGCCACGCACCACGTCCGATGTAGTTCCTTTGTTCTGTGCAGGGTTGATTGTATGGCAGCCTGAGAAAGCGAGAGTTTCGGGACTGAATGGAAGGTGGGAGAGTACTTACATTATTTTTCTCTTCAAACTCAAAGCTGAGGTTTACGTATTCGCGTTGAGAGTTCAATGTAGTTTATTGATTATCAATGGAGGACGACTCGTGTCTCACCTCCCATTCAATCCCGATTCTCTGGCCGCTACACAGATAAATCTGGTCAGATATAGGAATTACATCGGATTGGTGTGTGGCGCACACCCGCTTCAACTAACTGAAGTCAAGTTGAGGTCCAAGCGGGACAACCGGGTTCGATTCCCGGCATCGGAATGAAGCCGTGGTAGTGGAAATCTCTTTCTTCTCGACGAATTCAGCACCGCGCCAATGGCCATCTCGGCCCGCGCCAGCACAATAGCATTCCTGACCACGCCTGATTTTTTAACCACAGTATTGCTTAATTCTGGACCGGTACAATTTTCCAGAGCATGGGAGACCTACCGTACAGACTCGTCAGTCACAGCCTAATCAAATCCCTACTCTGCCGATGCTAGAGAATTGAACTTGTACGGAATATAGCAATCAAATCGGACGTGGTGCGTGGTGCACACCCGCTTCAGCTGTGAAGTTCTGGACAATCCGACAGCGGGAGAACCGGGTTCGATTCCCGGCGTCCGAATGAAGCTGAGCCAGCGTTTTTTTTTCTCCTCAAAATCCCGCCTCATGCCCATCTCGGCCCGCGCCTGCATTAGAATTTCTGTCCATACCCGACTTTTCGAACGACTGTAGTATTAATTCTGGAACGCTACAATTTCCAGAGCCAGAGAAACCTACAGTACCGTATACACACGCCGCCATGTGGCTCGTCCATTCAATTCCGGATCCCTCATCGGTGCATGATTGAACCTGAGCGGGATGTAGCAAATACTGGAAATCGGACGTGGTGTGTGGCGCACCCCCGCTTTAACTAGAAATGGAGGGATGCATGCATCATTCAAGCGGAAAGACCGGGTTCGACTCCCGGCGTTCGAATGGAAAGTTTCCCCGTCTTTTTCGAAGGAATCGGAAGGATCCATTTCAATCATCGTAATGCATGAAAGACTGCGGCGAATATCATACATTTTGGTTCAGAAAGGACACACCCATACATACCGTATATTCACGATGTCAAGTGCCTCAATTTTTGCATACCCCGGCGACGTTCAACTAAATGTACGATCATCGTGCTCTTCAATGCGTATTCGTTTTATCGAGCTGGCATCTCTTGAGTTTCGCGGAGGGCAGAATAGTACAACTCGGACGCGGTGGATGTCGTATGCCCACTTTTCCTTTAATTTTGGGTTTCACTTAGACTGCCGACGGGCGAGGACGAGCTAGATCTCTTTCTTGTTTCAATCCATTTGCGCGGTGAATCAGACTATTTCCCTTCACTGTATGTTTCTTCTTCTCTGTGAGCTTTGAATTTGTCGTCAGGCGCTTTCACTCCGTCTCCACAGAACTATGCATCACGTATATGGCATGCAGCGAAGGATATAATAAAGTCCCATGTAGCGACAGACAATATGAGGATCTAACTAATAATTTGTCCCTACTACGCTGACTCAAGCGATGTCTGCACAAAGGGGAAGAAGGAAGAGTAAATGCTTCTCGGAACTCGACCTCTTGACACCGTCAACTTCAGCTCCAATGGTGTAGCGAGCGAATGTCGACGGAATGTCTACGCTCCAGATGGTGTAAGGGCTATCCGCCGCGGACGCCTGGGCCGGGGGCGGGATGTTGATTTCCTGAGTAATGGGACGCGTGGTGTTGTCCGGGCTGTCCCACTCAAGATAGACGCGCGACGGGTTGAGGCCATTGCGCACCTTGAATACGTCAGAAAATGGGGAGTACTAGTTGAGCAGAGTCAACGTACCCCGACGTCAATCCGGCCTCCGGTGAAAGTATCATCGAACGCACACGACGTGTTGGCAAACACCACGCCGTCCTCTAGCGGGAATCCGTGGCCGTCCTGGTCCTCCAACTTGCCGTCGACCGAAAAGCTCATGTTCTTGAAACCGGCTGTGGCAGGGACCGTGGCGTTGATGGTGTACCAGGCTGCGCTGTACCGTCCATTGAGTCCCGTAGTCACGCCGAGAGCGTCGAGCGTCCAGTTCTTCGTGTTACCTGCATGGTCATCCGCGAGAAGCAGTACGGTGCGTTTCTCGTCCGACATGCCAAAGAACTGGATGGTGTTTCAAATGTGAATTTGAAGCAGGAGAAAAGGACTACATACCCGAACTTCAATAGTCATCTGCAGCACGTCGCCGTCCAAGGTGAACGATACAGTCGGCTTGACCGGCAGCGGTGTAATAACCTCAGTGAGTTGAACGCCCTTCGGTACGGTATCGATCATTCGCGTAATCAACTCGGCGCACGTTGAAGCAAAGAGTTCGCGGGACTCCGCGAATCTGTGAAGCCATCAGCCGATGGTAAACTGAGCATACATCTCAAAGAATTGCGTACGCTCGCATGGTCGCATTTCCATCACTGCCGAAAATCCGCTTATCAGAATTTGTCGTGTCGTTCAGGCCGACGACGAGTGGGTTCTGTGTAGTGCCCGCAATGTACTCAGTAGCGCTGCACCGGCATCAGAGGATACAGAGGGGGAATACACTTCGCTACGTACACATTGTTGTCGAATTCGAAGTTCGTGGTGTCGAAGTGCTGGACGGACAAGGTGTTGTTTGCATCGTTGAGTTCCGGCACGATCTCGGGAAAGAATTGATGTTGAACGCCACCAAAGGAGTGACTGCCAATACTGAGCGTAAGTGAGGGACGATGGTTGTCGGCGGAAACGCACCCGCATGCAATCAGGCTAATCATCTCCTTCTGCGTAAACCCCTGGCGGCTGAACGCCGCGATGTGTGAGTCCAAATCCTGCTCCGGGCGAGGTACGCCGGGGAGATTGGGCTCCGTCGCGTCCACCCGTCCGCCGCGGTACGCGAGTTGCGGGATATCTGCCGGTCGTCCACCTGCGGGTCCACTGACGAATTACGAATTAGAACGGGAAAGGTAACGGGCAAGGGAAAACTTGCCAGGCCTCCATAACCATAACGGCTCCCAGCGCGATTAAGTCTGCGACTACAAGTTTGTTCCGGCGTCAGAGAAGTTGAGTTTTTCAACGCGGCGTGCACGCACCAGAGATATATCGGTTAGCGTTCGGTGCGAATAAGTGCGAAACGGTATTATTGAACCCAGTGCCAGCATTCTGTTTGGACGGCTCATTAAGCCGAGGGCGCGAGAACCAGATAAGAAGAAGAAACGCACCTCCTCGCGGCCCTGCTCTACTCCAAAGCGGATAGAGGCGTCGAGACCCCCTGTCCCGTCCTCGACGTTGTGCGTCGCCATATCGTGATACGCCTACGCCACATCAATTCGCTGGAGGCGTGTACGGAGCAATTCGCAGCAGCTTACCGTGCGCAACCAGTCGGCAGCGTTGCTCCTTCCCGTCTCTTCGTCCACCCCGGTGGCAAAGAGGAACCCAGAACATGTGTTGAGGAAGTCATCGAGGCCGTGAACTGCAAAGGTAACAAGCCCGAATCTGGCACTGTCCAGTGCTTCGAGTTGCGGTGAGGGCCAGACGTAGGCGTTCGCCGTCGCAAGGGAGCCGATGAGGGCGAGAGCAGCGAGCATGTGGACTTTTTTTTTGTGGAGAAGAAACATCCGCGGGCCTATTTAAACCATCGCGGAGTAGTTGCCAAGCTGGAAACGACTTCTCTAACCTCGGAATGATTTGCCCGTTGTCCGCACGGCGGCATGGGGTGGCCGTCCTACTTCCGTCATGTCGACGCTGGAAGATATATCAACCATCCAAAAAAACTTTGGATGGACCTTGGTGGAGAGCGGGAAGAGAGAAAAAAATCGCGCCTGCGGTAAAACCGTGGCGTGTTGTATGAACCTCGCGGGGCTGCGTCTTCTCTTCCGCTCGACAGTATTCTATGGTATATTTCAAGCTGAGAGACGCGTCGGCGGGCGCTCCACGGGGTCGAGATTTGCAATCACCGGATTCTGGTTGGGTGCATTCAATACTCGCGTATCAGAAATATTTAACATGAACCTACAAGTCCCAACAACATCGGGAGTGCAGTACCTGGCGCTCAATCCGATGCGCGCGCAGCATTGTACGCAATCGCTCTTGCAATCATAACAGCACCAAAATACAAAACACTCATCATTAATTCCGGATCTCAACATGCGGTGCGTTCGTACTGCTACTGGGCGAGCGGCAACGCTACACGGGGATGGGGTTGCAAGGACGCCGATATCATCCGCGCTGGTGCAGAGCATCTACGGGCGAGGTCAGGAGCTGTTACGTTCCGGTGGATTGGCGCTGGCTTCGCCGAGGCGAATAAGCACTTACAACTGGCGAAAGCAATGGCCAGGACCGCCGCACGAGCAATCCCACCAATGCCTGCTGCAATAATCCCACCCTCTCCGCCTGCACCTCCAATCGCTCCGTCTGTGATGGTGGTCCCACGACCTAAAGTCTCCTCGTCGCTACCGGCTGTGAACCCTGAGAAGGAGCTGGGCATCGAAGTGCGCGAAAGCGACATCGGCCCCGAGGAGCAAGCGCACCGTGGCCGGGAGCGCGAGCGTCAGCGCCAACGTGAAA